CAACTGAAGATTAATACTCTATTTGTGTGAAAGCTCTAGCCCAAGCACAAGTGGGATCAGCACTCACAGCAACGGGTCTTAACTGCCTGCAGCATAAAGTAACAAATAGCCAGTGGCTTTCTCCTCTCACACAGCTGTTCAGTCCATTTCTAATCAAAGGTTGTTGCATACATTTCAATGAGACATGTGGACTCACTCACCCCGATTTATTTGCTCATGAGTGTCCCGAGGTTAGTGGCTCCCGCCCCTACCTGACATTTGGGCTGGAGTCAAGTTGACAGAAAAATAATGGTGTCAAAAAGAGATCCTGATCTCTTTTTGAGGGAAAAAAAAAAAAAAACCATCAGATGCCTGTGAGGAAGCTTAGCACCAAGCTTGCAATTTACTCAGGAGATTTACTGAATCTCTTTTCTGTAAGAGAAAGTGTGAGCAATTATATACTGCCAAAGAGAATACATTAAGGCTAAATTGGAATAATCATAATCAGCCATTTTTGTTGGAAAGAATGCTGGCATACTGGGAAAAGAGCAGGGATGATTTTTTCCATGTTCCCCTGCAGTTCAACACCTGATTAAAAATAGACTGCTTGCAAAATGGAGGTAAACTGGAAATAAATAATCCACCTTCAGAAGGAGATCAAACATATGAAACTGCACAACAAAGAATGAATTTCTAGAACATGCAAAAGAGTCATCACATGCTCTGACAGTAAATTTCCAGTAAATGCAAACAGCAAAACCAAACAAATATATGTTATTTGTGAGAGAGGAGGTATAAACAGTAACAGATTTTAAATAAATGCAAATCAAATTATTTTCAGTGTATAATAAAGACTTTTTCAAAACTATTCCTCCAAGCCTCTTCCCTTAGTATGCCACACTGACTAAAAAAGAGTCATGAGAACAGTATGGAATTTAAAGCTGTCTTCATTAAAAGTCATTGGATTTTGAAATACATGTCTTGCTCTGTCAAACTCACCTCTGAAACTGTGAGGGCTAGAAAAGATATTCCCAGGCAGGGCTGAGAGCCTGCTGCAGTAACCCAGAAGCAGAGTTATGGATCTAAGAAAGCACCAAATCCTAATCACTGCATTGTTTTAAGAAATTAATCTCTAAAATTCAGGAATAACTATGCATTTTTATATAAATTTACATTTTCTTATAATTCTTTTTAAAGTGTCTTCCTTTGAGAAGCGTTCATAGTTTCTGCTAGCCTCAGAAGTTATATGCAAGCTTTCTGCGAGGAGTTAATCATGGAATCGTAGAATCATTGTGGATGGGAAAGACCTTCAAGATCATCAAGTGTGACTGTAAACTCAACCTGTTTATTATTTATTTCAACATCTAATATGAAGAATATTGTTCACGCAAGCACTCGAACAGGATTAAACCATGCAGCTCTTTACTGGCTCCCAATGGAGAAGGTACATGGTGATAATCACCACTTTGTGTCCAGCCCTTTTGGCTTGAATCTCCTCAGCTGCTTTTGATAAACCCTTAACCACTGCAACACTGTTTGCAATTATTGTCAACACCGTAACTTTAGAAATTTTTCTGGAAAATCATAGAATCATTATGGTTGGAAAAAAACTTCAAGATCATCAAGTCCAACTGTAAACGCATCCCCACCGAGCCTGCTAAACCATGTCCCTCAGCGAAGATCATCCGCTGTTCTTGAACACTGTTGAACACTGCCAGGGACGGGGACTCCACCACTTCCCTGGGCAGCCTGTTCCAATGCTTCACCACTCTTTCTGTGTAGAGCTTTTTCCTAATATCTAACCTGAACCTCCCCAGGTGCAACCTGAGGCCATTTACTCTTGTCCTATCAGAAGCTATGAAGCTTTCTATCCAGCCACCACACTTGAGAGCAGCACCCTGAGCTGGTTCTAAACACAAGACTAGCAAGTGAATATCTGAGCAGAGAAATAGATGTGGCCTCTTGGGGGATTGCAGAAAGCACAGACTTTGCTTGAGAAGGCTGCCCAAACCCCTCCGAAAGAAGCAGAGCAGATGCCCTGTCCTCTGCTACAGCAATGTGACTTCAACAAGATCAAGACGATGGCTGTGCTGAGCGCCTTTATCTCCTGAACTTTCCCTCAAATGCCGTAAATGCCTCTGGGAAGTGTTGTAGGGCATCAGGGATAACTCTGAAGACATGGAGTGACTACCAAAACACTTCAGTGGGTCTGCAGGGGGAGCTGCTTTTGCCTTGTCCTCTGGTGAGTCACTAACTCTCAGGATCAAGACAGTGTGTTTTATGGCAGATGTAGTCCTTTATTACCCCACCAGCATGAAGGTTATATTCCCGCAAATACTGTGAGCTCACAGTGTCTTCCAAACAGACTTTCATTTAGCCAACAGACTTCGATTTAGAGGTACAAAATGCAACAGCAAAAGGTCATTGTGACTTTTTTTGATAAGATGGAATAATAATTAAACTACAATGCAGAGGACCCCTAAGAGAGATTTATCTGAAGTGTAAAAGTTTCACTAATCAGCAGGCTATCTGTATAAGGGGCATATTTTTTGTCCTGGATGGTACATCCTACCATTCAGTTTTTATTATTTATGCCAAACACATCTGCGTTTTCATGCTTCCAGTGCACAGCGTCTTAACAGGGTGGGCAACCTTGTCTTTAAAAGGAGCTTCTTAGAAATGGAAACAAATACAAAAGCCTGCCAAGGCACATAAGAGCTTTTCTTAAAAATGAGAATGTATTTCAGGGTAACTGCTATGAAATCTGAAAATAACACGTGTTCCTTATGGGCGTCCTCTGAAAGGGTGTGTGGGATTACAGTATTAAAAGAAGAAGTGTCGTTGTTCTCCAAGCATGGTGTTTCTGCCCAGCTCCTCAATCCAAAACCTGTTTTGTGGCACGTGGGTTGCAGCCCTTGCTGGTCTGCAGCCCGCGCTGGCCCCAGCCGCCCTTCTCCTTCCCCACACGTGTGCGCGGTGCAGCGCTTGTCTCGCAGGGAGAAGACGAGTAGACTTCCATAACCAACGCTCCATTTTTAGGTAGGAGTTGCTTCAAATTTAAAAGCAAGTGATAGCAGCAGAGCTCTAGGTGGTCAGATTTTGGCCAGAAACCATGAGGCCAACTGCTTGATACTGCCTTTTTCTCAATGTTCTGTTTTGCTGCCTTGTATTTTTCCATGAATAAGTGACTCTTGGCAATCGCGTATTTTGCGTATGAGATGCCTTGCACCTGGAAACCGGCCACAGGTTGTTTGAGGAAAATAGCCTTCCTGAACTGTGCTAAGTGTGGAAAACGACAGGACTGAGCTGTAGATACCGAGAGAGACAGCTGCCACAGGAGAGACTACTTCACCCTCTGCCAGCTTAGAAATCCAAAGATCTCGGGAGAGCAAAGGCAGACATGCAGGTGGGACAAGGTGTAAAAAAAGGGCTTGAAAGCAGCAGCAGCTCCAGAGGTCAAAGTCCTCAAGGACATCTCTGCACAGGAGCAACCCCTCGAGAAGAGCTGGCAGAAAGCAGCAGGGGAACGGTGTCTGTGGCACAGCTGCATCTAAAAGAGCCATAACTAAAATACCAGACCTAGAAGTGTGAATCTCAATGTAGTTGCATGCAGGGCAGCTTCTTGCTGAGTGGGTCCGGCGGTGGGAATTGCAACAGCATGTGGGAAGGCAGCAGGAGAGCGGCCTTGGCAGGATGTGATAGCGAAGGTGTCAAACTGGGGTTCAGAGGTGAAGCAAAGCACAAGCTAACATAAAGGGCCCTAAACTGTTAAGAATACAAGGTGCTATAGTAAGCACAGCTAAATCAGGGACATAAATACGAGAGCTGCTAAAGATAGCAGTTTGCCAAGTATTTGTGTTAAAGGTTTAAGATATGCACTGAGTGGCAAGCTACATTATTAAATTATGTATTTGGCACCTTGCAAAGTAAACCCATAAAAGTGCCTCTCATCTGGGAAATTAGTCGGGTCCTGACAGATTTTTTTAAACAACGGGTAGATTACACCTGACATTTCCGCTGAATGTTTGATTAAAGCTAAACATTTAAGTTTATAAATTCAGCGCTGGGTTATGTTTACTCTCTTGAGCCAATCCCTGCAGGCAGCACCAGCTGCACAGGCAGCACAACCGTAGCAAAAGGTGAGGCTGGGGGCATCGGAGAGACTCTGTGGGGCAAAATTCGAGCACATCTGTAGCGTGCAGGAAGAGGGGTGGCTCTCCTGGGTGAGCAGAAGGGGTTGCAGGGGAGGAAGCAGGGCTGCGTGTACGCGAGACCCGCACTCCGCCTCACGCTGCCCGTAATCCCCATCACCAAACACTCATTCGGTTATCAGAAACATTTCAGAGCCCTCGAGATTAACGGCTGGTGCCACGTAAACAGAACCTTATATTGGGAGGAAGGAGGCAACACAGAGCAGTGAACACCAGGGGACAGCCCGGGAGGGCCCCTGTCCCTCCTGTCGCAGCCCCGGGGGTTTCTGCAGTAAGAAACTCCCAGGATGGGCAACAGCCTGAAGGCGATTGTGGCTTTTGTGCCTTCCAAGGGGTGCCAGAAGTACCTCCTGGAGGACCTGGAAGAAATGCCCGTGGATAAAATGGTGGACCTGAGCGGCAGGCAGCTGAGAAGGCTCCCTCTGCACATCTGCTCTTTCAGGGAGCTGGTCAAGCTCTACCTGAGCGACAACAACCTGAACCACCTCCCCGCCGAGCTGGAGCAGCTGCAGAACCTGCAGCTCCTGGCACTGGACTTCAACAACTTCAAGGCGCTGCCGCCGGTGGTGTGCACGCTGCGGCAGCTGGTGGGGCAACAACCGGCTCTGCAGCCTGCCCGTCGAGCTGCGGCTCCTGCGGAACCTCCGCACGCTCTGGATCGAGTCCAACTGCCTGCAGCAGCTGCCCGAGGTGGTGTGCGAGCTCAGCCTGCTCAAGACCCTGCACGCCGGCTCCAACGCGCTGCGCGGGCTGCCCGCCCGGCTGCGCGGCCTGCGGGAGCTGCGCACCATCTGGCTCTCGGGCAACCTGCTCTCCGAGTTCCCCGCGGTGCTGCTGCACATGCCCTTGCTGGAGGTGATCGACGTGGACCGCAACGCCATCCGCCACTTCCCCAGCCTGGCCCACCTGCGCGGCCTCAAGCTGGTCATCTACGACCACAACCCCTGCCGCAACGCGCCCAAGGTGGCGCGAGGGGTGCGCAGGGTGGGCAGGTGGTCCGAGGAGAGCCCGGAGCCTCGCAAGCGCTCCGGGGCACTGGGAGACATCGCGCCCGAGGACCTGCCGCCACTGCCGCCCGCCGGCGACAAGGCCGAGCTGGAGGCGGAGCCCTGCTGAGGCGGCCGGCGTTGCGCCCGGCCGGCGCCCGCGTAAGCCCTCGGCGCAGGTGCGGTGGTCAGAGCTACGCGGCAGCAAGACCCTCTTTTACAGACACCCGCGCAGGGCACAGCAGCCAGCACACTCTAGAGCCCAGAGTTAGTCCCTTTGCCCCCTCCTGCTAATGAGGACCACTAGAAGCTTGCGGTAGAGATGAAAAGCCCATTGCGGCAGTTCCCCGTGCTCTGGGTGGACTGTAGACCCAGATGGACTTGCTTTTCTTCACCAGAAGTAGCCTACGGGCGCGTTCCTCCTTCCCCACCTTGCCGAGGTGCCCGAGTGCAGCTGGAAGGCACAGCTGAAGGTGATTACGAAGCACAGACCACTCCACTGCGGCACAGTTTTAACCACAGTCTCTCTCTGAAGCGACCTGAATTCAAAAAGCAGCAGCAGAAGTTACAGCATGAAGGTTTCCCCTCCTGCTGCACGGGAAGGCCTTGCGGAGCCCTGGACGTAGATCCAGGGAGCAGCACCTGCCCGCCAGCGCTCCTCTCAGAGCTGCCGCCTTCTTTCCGGAGAACATGCAACTGTTACTATTTCATTATTCAAAATGAGTACCAGGAAACCTAGAGGCTTTTTTGCTAGTATTTATATAACCACTTGCACTGTCTGTTAAAGACGGCTATATATACACCAAACCTTACACAGTAGCAAAGAAGGAAATCCAAAGCTGAATAAATGGGAAGAACTACAACAGCTGACAAGGTAAATTTGCATGAGCATCACGTAAGATGGGGAGGCTGAGGCTGCTCTTATAAACTCACGCAGAAGAGGAAGGTTGAGCCAGTCTTTAGGTGAGGGCATGAGGATATTTATCTTAGATGTTTGGATTTCCTAGGAGATGAGCATGTTTATAACCACTTTTTCAATATATATATGTTCAAGTAACATAGACTCTGGCTCAAAATAGCTTGATGTTTTTAGTGTTCATTCTGTAGCACTGAGCATTCAACTCAGATTTTTTTTTTATTATTATTATTTTAAATAGAGGAAGGGAGCCATCAGTGAAGCAGAGCAGCCACTTTTCTCTTCCACTTGTTGGGCAGGGGGAGCTTTCTTACCATCCCCGCATTCAAAAGTCACATCTGACTTCCCGTAAAAGGTTTGATTCAGCACCTGCCTGTGACTGCTCAATGTCACTTACATTCTTTGAAAAATTATCTTGAAATAGAGAGACTGTTAGCACATCCTGTCTTGTTAAGTGAAGTCTGATTTTGGATCTGGCTGGCACCCATGTAATGTACTTACCATTCATTAAATAAATTGTACTGGTCTGGCTGTGCTTCACTATTTTTTTGGAATTTAACCCATTTACCTCTTCTCAGATTCTTTACCTCACTCCTGTTCCAACAAACTATTACTTTTGGCAAAGGAAAATTATTCAACAGGGTAAGAGTTTTGCTTGTTTCTTAAACATCAAATTTCCTAGTGTTCATTTCCTATAAGATGTGGTAACTCTAACTTATCATGAAGGGAAGGAAAGAATGTGTTTCACCAGCTTCTGCATAGTTTATAATTACTGCAGTATTCTTAGAAGACAATATTGGCACTTCTGATAGGTTGAAGAGACCTTGCTTTGAGAACTGGGAAGAGTATTTCCTAAACTGATTCTCTTCCTTTCAGGATGCCCAGAGGAAAAAAAATGTTCACACAGATACCTTCTTGATTTGAGATGGGTCTTCCAGCTTCAGTGGTCTCCCAGCTACACACCAAGATCCTGCTCTACCACTGGAACAGGGTCGTACTGCACACCTGGTCCCTCTGCATGTTACTGTACAGCCAGGGGCAGCTCCCCGTGCTGCTGCTTACAGCTATTAGCGAGAGACTCCATGAAATCCACTGCAGAAGTCACAGGGATCCGCAGAGAGAGAAATTAGTGCAGTTAAAAGACAAGTTGCCTTCTGAGAATTAGTGGCAGGTCACAACAGACATGGAAAACCATCAATACCAGAGTTATGTTTGATGAGACAGGCAAGAAGAAAGGATGAGGGCTATAGTGCAGTTTAGCAGAGTTTTCACTATGTGCCCTCCTATCACAGTAATAGATACTTGAGAAGACGTTAGTCTGAGTCCAGTGGCTTGTAGGCTCCCCTGAAAACAAACGGACTTCTTAGTTCAGTCCAGGACACTTATTTTCCCCAACCTGTATTTTCCACTCAGGAGCTCCCAGCAGAACTTCTGTCTCCTTAAACCCACTGATTGATGATGCAGAAAGCCCCTGAGGTGCAGTTCTGCACATGGACTCACGCCCATCTTCAGCTTTTTATCTTCATCATCAAGAAAGGAGCATCACCTCCAGCACTACTACGAAAGGGTAACACGTAACCTACTGCAGAGTCTACTTGTAGGATCCCAGCTCAAAACCCACGCAGGCAGGACCACAACAAGTTGCATATACAAAATGCACCAAGCTAACACAAAATAGGCAACTACAAAAGCAGGCAGGGACTTTAACTTGAGAAGACATCATGTGCATGACTTACTGTGAACTGCGTTCAGGTATCTCAAGACTGAGGACAGGCACTGTCACTGCTCTAAAGAAATTACATTTCTACAGAAAGACAAATACAACTTTGATTAATCCATTTTTTTTTTATTTCAGTGTATTTTAAGTGGAACCTGGAACAAGAAACAGGGTTGTATAAACCCGTATTTTAATTGAAAGTGAATCTTCCCACCAACACAAACTGAAATAATTTAAAATCAACAGAAAGCTCATGCTATTGATGGAGATGCTCATCTTAAGCTTCTGTATCACAGCCTCGCAAGAACTATATCATTAAAAAAAAAAAAAATACTAGGTGAAATCTGGTCCACATGTCATCAGGCACTGAAGAGTTTAACACGGGCGATGGTCTGGCACACGTTTTCTAGAAGAAAAATAAAAATCAGAATGTTTTCCCCACTGATGTCCATTCTCTACTTCCTCCAGCTTATTTTTATCTTTTTAGTTCTTATTTTACATTAAATGCTAGGTTTATCTCATCACAGAAGACAGTATTCTCTGAAAGCTGTGCACCAGCTCTAAGCAGGGTAAGATAAATAAAAATATGAGTAAAATATGTAAAATATATTTATATGATCTATATTTATGTATCTGTTATATTCTTATATGTGTATAATAAAATATACATGCATTAAAAAATCCAAAAAACAGTGAAAACTAGTAAGTACATGGGATAACCTGCCCACAAATGGAATTTTTTAGTAATCCTAACTTATAACAAATGGAAAAGCACCACCCCCACTACCTGGCATTTTGCTCAGCCAAAATTCACTTTTGCTGATATTTGGGTGCTACAGACTACATATGATGTGAAACACAGTCTTATGGAATGAACATTAGCACGTTAGACATCACTATTCATTTCAAATAAAGCACTGTTAAGCAAGACTTTCTGCACAGTTACTTCGCCACAGAAGGCCATTCTAATAGCATTATAACTGATTAATGTAGATATTCTAGTAATACCTTGGTGCCGCTTTAATAATGTCATCCACACGAAGAATCATTTCTGCTGCTTCAGCTGCACTCAGCAAAACCTGCCTCTTCACTTGGAAACTTTCTGTAACTCCCAAGACTGCCATGTCTCCAATGACACCCTCTTTCATATCTTTAAAGAGAAAGAGACATTATGGGCTTTTTGTCCATGTTTCCTTTTAAGAAAGTTAAAATAAAAATGACAGTGTGACAGCTTTCCTGCTCAAATGAAGCACAAATTAAGTCCAAATACCTCTCACCTGAAGATTAATGATTTAAGCTTATCTTGTTGCAATCACATACAAAGATTTAATGTTGAAAACTTCCTACCACTGGGAAGGAGAGACAAGATTCCAGCAGGTGTCTCAGCACTTTTTCTTTAGGTATAGCCACTTCCCCCAACCTTTTCCTGATTGTCTTCTTTCAGTCACTGCCTTTCCTCTGAACTTCATGGAACTAGACTCAAAGTAGAGCAACTGGTTTCATGGGCAGAAATCCTCCTCTCCAGAAAACCATAAAGGAATGTAGCAGTTTGGATAGGTCTGTTTGCTCTGCGCTAACATAAATGTCTACATCACCACCTCGTTAGACAAGCAAGAGGTGACTGACTGTATCCTGAAACTTCATCTCAAAATGAAACACACTAGGCCTAAAGAGCTTAAATGGTGGATGTAATATGACCTTAGAGTACTAAATTCTTTATCATGATTGCCCCTTTCAAACAATAAATTGCAAAGTTATTGACATCCAACAGGAATTTCCAGTTTATAAAAACAGCTCATCTTCTATTTACTACTGCTTTCTGACATTATTATTTTTTTTTTCACCAGAGCGGTAACTGAATCACAGCACTGATACAAGGAAAAAAAATTATTAATGAAGAAATTTAAGTTATATGCACAGATTGCTATTTCCTAGAAGAAAGAAAAAAAAAAGAAAAAGAAACACAGAGAAAAGGGAGCGCCACCTGGTAATACAGACTTTAAAAGCACACAGAAGAAAGGCTACATTGTGGCTCTAATGCATCCTGTTCTCCCAGCTGAATGTATCAGTGACAAACTGATGTGACAGAGCTTGGGGAGCCAAATCTGCAGCAAATATCAAGCCAAGAGAAGAATATCAAGCTACTTACCCAGTCCGTAAGTCGTTTTCCCTTCACTGTGAGCAGCTCTGAGCTGTGCAACCAAATCTGCGCTGTCGTAGCCGGCATTATCAGCTATGATCGTCGGGATCTAGGGGCATAAACACATTTATTTTCTTTAAATACTATGCCTTGCCACTTAACTTTCCCTGTATGGAATGTACTTTGCTGTTACTAGTTTACCATTAACTTTTAAGAACAACGAGTTTCAAAAACATGGCAGTTCATCTGTGATAGTGATCAGCAGTTAGAAAACTATCAAATTACCTTTCTAAGGATGTTCTCTTTTGTTTAAGACACATAGTTACACTGCAGCTGAGGACAAAAGCACCTGAGCAGATTTGTCATTCAGTTTTACACAAGCAGAAAGAAAAATATCTCTTCATTTACCATTCCAAACTGGAAATGGAGAACTTGTGTCATCTTAAGAACACAAGCTTGCTGGCAAGCACTAACCACATAATTCTGCTCACAGGCTAGGTGAAACCTGCAAGTCACTCATGTTGACTGTAGAGGTAGTAATTTCCCTGAGAAATTTTCCTATGCACTTTCATTTCCTAAGGAAGGTTTTCCCCTAATTTAAGAAAAGGAAAGCTGTACGGCTTTTTTTTTTCTTCAAACTGGCATTCTGTTAGCACACTGTAAGCAATTTTTTTCTTGTAATTCTTTATTTCTGACCAAGATGCAGTCTTCAAAGCAAGTCCTATACAAAATTAGGGCATGAATACAGTCAAGTAGTACTGGAGTATCAACACAAAACCATGAGTAAAATCAAAGAGTTGTTCTTTTCTCCCAGGTCTGATTTAAACCAACTTACCATTCT